CTTCCTGTATTGATTGGCTAGCAAACCATAGAGATGGATGGGTGGGTGGATGGATGGGCCTATTCAAGCTCTCTCAGAAAGTCGTTTTACTTTTAGTAAAGAAAGTAAAAAAAGTAACTACTAGCCCATCAGTTGAAATCATTTCCTGCCCTTTCTACATCATAACTCTTTACGAAGAGTCAAGGGTGCTTTCCAGTTCCCAGGAGCTCGGATGCACAGCCACACCACACCATTGGTTGGAGGACAGAAGAGCCTGGATTCACGGGCCAGGCCAGCTAAAATATGATTCCTGGGTGTACTGAGGCCGAATTGCATCCTCCAACAGAGCCAGGCAACCTAAGGAGTAAAATAACATCCTTTGCCTTTTGGGAAATTTTTGACTCCATTTAAGACAGGTTAAAAAGCGCAAGATGGCCGCCAAGCCTTTGGGATCTTCTGGGCATTCACCAGGTCTCTGCAGAAAGAAAGAAAAAAGCCCATGGAAATCAATGATTCTCTGTGGGGGGGGGGGGATTCAGGAAGAGGTTCGTGTGGATGTGCCCCTTTAGCAGAACAAGCAGGTCCTTAAATTGTAAGGAAATGCTGTAAGGGAATCTACACGGCAAAAAGCCCAGGGCTAAAACCAGTTTGTGCCTTGTGTTTCCTTTTTCCAAGCCTTTGCTTGGCTGTTTCTGGACACCAGAAAATCCCTCACTAGCGAAGTGTGACTTGAAGGAAATCCACCCAAGCTCCACTGACCTCAAATACCCTGCCTCAAAAAACCGAGGGGCTCTGGTTGTAAACAGGGAAGCCTCCTTGTAAAATCCTGGTACTGTTAATACCATTAACACAAGTGGTAACCGGAGCCTATCTTGAAATCAGGATTTGAGGGGAGGGGGGAAGAGGAGGAGAGATCAACCGAATGCAGGAGAGATTTATTTACTGTTATAATAAGGCCTTTAAGCCTGAAATAATCTCCCTAAAAGGAAATGGGGTCCTTTCTTGAAAATCCACTTGGAATCCTGCACTTTTCTTCCAAATGGTGACTCAGTGATTGATAAGGATTCTGCTGCTTGGTGTCCAAGTTCTGTTTTCATTTCGGACTGCTTGGCTGCTTCATATTCCTTTCCTTTCGCAACTCGCTTTAGGACCAGTCGAAAAGTGGATATGGAGGCCAAAAAGAAAGAAATAACTCCCAGGTCCTTCTCTGAGTGAATACACTCACTTTTCCTGCAGGCCAACTTTAAAGTATCTAATTCTGTCTTTCCCCCAATCTCAAGAGGAGGAAAAACCTTTAAAAATGACCAAAATGGAGCTTTGGCAAAGAAATAGGGCATCGCTTTTACAATGTTGCTCTTTAGGATCTGGGTCTTAACTGATTTGATTGCAATTTAAACTTTGGGGTTTTCTATATTGCTACATAGAAAGAAAATACCACACCCAGCTTTGTGGGTACCTGTGCGTGCGCATGTGTGCATAAGTGAAAAAAATTCAGGCAGGAAAGAAACAGTTCGTCTAAATTGCATTCCTACTCTATCTGAGAGTCCCTTATTGATACCATTACCTGTGTTTCCCCAAAAATAAGACCAGGTCTTATATTAATGTTTGCTCCAAAAGATACATTAGGGGTTATTTTCTGGTTAGGTCTTATTTTCGGGGAAATACAGTTCCAAATGCATCCGTCTGGCTGACAATCTTAATTGGAGATTATTTTCAGGGTAGGGCTTATATTGCAAGCATCCTGAAAAAAATCACGCCAGGGCTTATTTTCCAGTTGGCTCTTATTTTCAGGGAAACAGGGTATTTATAAGATTTACTTCTGAATCAACATTAATAAGATTGACCTGTGGCTCTGAAGCCAAGTGTCCATACCCGTGTAAGCATCCGGTGTTGGGTGATTTAAGAAACGGGAGCTTCCATTGAAGGAGAAAGAATGGGGACCTGTGGGCACCTTGATCTTCAACCAAGGAAGGAAACATCCTTTATTGTTAAAGCTGATAGAGTTCCAACAGAAAGCTTAACATTGGCTTGTGGCTGCAAACTGCCAGGCAGACCTAGGAGGGCCAAGTGGGAAATAAGAAACAAGGTCACCCTTTGAAGGAAAAGGCGCACAGATTTGCATTTGGACTGGAAGTTTGTATGCAGCTGAACTTCCTTGGAACTTCCTCTGGATGAAGTCCGAGCTCTAAAATTAGCCAGCTGGAACCAGGAGATATCTGAGCAGCCAGACTCTTGTCTTCTGTGCTCCAAGTGATTCAGGGATTGGGTGCAAGCAGGATTCCATCCAGTTGCTGCACTGCCATAAAGCATCTCCTACTTTGCCGTTTGCCTGGCCTACGAATGTAGAACTACTTATAAGAATTGTCATGCCCTTGGACTTTTTTTTTTTTTTTAACATTTGAATGAAACTGAGCTCCTATATAAATTTACCTTGGGTTCCCCAACTCAATGGGGTTGGCTTGTGTGCAGACAAGACTAGGTAAAGCTCTTTCATTGAGGTCTTCTCCAACTGGGTGCCCTCCAGAGGTGTTGGAACTGGTTGGATCACTCCAAGCCTGCCAGGCCATCTCCTTGGGCGTGAATTCTGATTCAGGAATGGATTCCCAAGATAACAAGGCCAGATCATGTATTGTAGCGGTTAAAGGCGTTGGACTAGAAGATGCTAGGACAAAATGGAGTTCTAGTCCTGTCTCAGACATGGAAGCCAACTGGGTGATTTGGGGCCAGGTGCTCCATCTCGGCTGTAGGAAGAAAAAGCCACCTCTTCCAGAAACCTTGAAGCCTCCTCTCACAAGAGGGTCAGCTTTCCTAAGAGTAAACAGATGGTGAGCTGCCCCAAGGAAATCAGGGATCCCACTCAGGTTCAGATTCCCCTTTGCAGGTTTTCATGGCTCTTCTTGAGGTTGGGTGCTTTCTAAAACCTTCCGCGTGGATGTTTGTGGTAAATGCTTTAACTTCCAGCCAAAGCTTTTGGTATTGTAATGAAATAAGGAAGGGGGACTGAAGGAGTGGAGCACGGAAACTTTTCATCTTCTCCATCCTATTTGTGACTCTCTAAGCATCGACAATGCTCTTCTCAAATACTATTACATACTACGTTATATTTGTAGCCTGCTCCCTCCTCTCTCCCAGTGTGCCATTTAGAGCGGCTAGCTAGTAAATAGGGGTGGCGGAGTTTGGTCTAAATTTCTCTCATTATTTTTACCTTGAGCTGCAAGCATGGAAGATTTTTGCTGGTGATGAGACGAACAAAAACAAAGGGATGTTTAGCCCACTGCCTTTTGATGAGGTTAATTTTAATTTTATTTTAATTAAAACAGAGTCCAAATGCCTCTGACTGATTGGTTGATTGATTGGGCCTTTGATGGGTTTGACTCACCTCCCAGCCAGTTTGCTTAACTCTAAATGGAGGCGCGGGGGGGGGGAATTCAAGAAATTGGAGGTGTTGGGTTACATTTTGGATTGGTGATCTCTTCACTGTAATGAAGAGCAGGCCGGTCAGCGAGCCCAGCCATGCCAAGGCTAGGAGAAATGTTCCGTTTGGTTCAGGACTCAGGTTTTGCTCCCTATCAAAATCCCTTCCCTTCCAAACAGTAACCAGTGAAGGGGCGATGCAGGGAAGCGAGAGAGATGATGGAAGTGTTGAACAATGAGTGGGGAAACTCTGGTTCAATTCCACCTCAGGCACAGAGGGATAATGGGTGAGTTTGGGCAGTCACTCTCATTCAGCCCAGCCTATCTCACAGGACTGTTGTACACACCCACTGTGCTGTCCAGACAGTTTAGAGTTAATGGGATTTGGGATAGTTAGTTAGGAACTGAGAGCTGTCTCCTTAAGGGAATGCATCATGGTAAATGTAGTTAAGGTATCCTGGGAAATGTAGTCCATGTCATGTGGCCACATCTGTAATCCAGATTGGTCACTAAAATGACCCTTGTTGGGTTGGGGAAGGCTCCCTCACTCTTGCCTGAATCCTTTACCATGCAGCCACTTCAATCATCATGGGGATGAGAGTTTATTATCCTCCTACACCACAATTCAGATAGGCAAAGGATTGGACATTAAGAAGAACCTCGTCATAAATGTGAGTTGACAGGATGCCTGATGAACCAATAAGAAAGACTTTGTATGGATGCTTTGTGGAGTTGATCTGTCTCCTTTATGCCATTCAAACATTAATAAGCAGAACCGTAGAAAGATAATAAAGCCTATCTCACAGGACTGTTGTACACACCCCCACACAAACACACCCACACAGAAGAAGGAAAGGATGCAGTCTTGATCTCCAGAAAGAAGGCAGGGGTGTAAATCTAACAATACAAAATGAACAGGTCTACTGGTAAGGGAGAGGACCAGTTTGGTGGACTGTCCAGACATTGACCTAGAACTGGGAGACGGGCACAAAGCCAGCAGGCCAGTCACTTCCTCTCAGCCCAGGAAGTAAGCAATGGCAAACCACTTCCAAAATCTTGCCAAGAAAACTTGCAGGGAATTTGTCCAGGCAGGTGCCAGGAGTCAACACTGATTCAAAGAAGCACACACCAACAGACACACAATTTGATTAGAGAAGAATCGGGAAAAGGTTGCTCCCCAAGTACTTCGAGGGTGTGATGGGTGGCACCAACCTGCACCCCCCATTCAAGCTGGAAGAGTTTTGTTGCAATTACAGAGGCAAACTTGCTGCGATGAGAAGTTGGGGAGCAAAGGAAAAAACCGCAAAGGTTTGGTTCAGATCTAGTACAGTTCTCAAGGTGAGGTTTGGGGGCTTTTTTGTTTTGTTTTGGACTTAATGAGGGACATGAACCAACATAGAGCACCAAGTGCCCCCCCCCCCCACTCCTGGGCCTCCTTCTCCAAAAAGTGAAGTCTTGGAGGGAGGGAGTCTCCTTTCCTTTACCTATGGAGTCCCATCTCTCCATTTTACACCAGGACAATTGAGCCCCCCCTCTCTGTTCCCCCCCCTCCCTCCCCTCCCCCGAGCATCCCTTGGACTGGCCTTCTCTTTTCTCTCTCTCCGCAGTGGGCCTGCCTCGGTACCAGCACCACCCCAGCCCGGTGTGCGACCGGAAGGATTTCGTCCTCAATTTCAACGGCATCTCGTCCTTCCACCCATCGGCCAGCAGCTCTTACTACCACCACCATCACCACCACCACCAAACCGTCTGCCAGGACATCAAGCCCTGTGTGATGTAAACGCGGACTCCTAAGGCGAGAGCGGAAGGAGCCGGCCGCAAGTGAAGGGCGGCGGGAGGCTGCAGAAGCGCTCCCAAAATCCCAGCAGGGCCGGGGAAGGGCGCGGAGTAAACCCACCCCCACCCCCCACCCCCACGGCCCCACGGCTCCCGACACGAGGAAGCCAGCGCAGGGACACGCACTTTTTCTCGGGGTGACCTCGCGCAGCGCGATCCTCTGGACTCGGGAAACCAAAGCTTCGTTCCGGCCCGGCCGCTTTGCCCTTGATCCTTCCCTGGCCCTTTGAAGCGAAGCCCCGCTCTCATCCGCCGGACTGACGCCTTGCAGAAGAGGAAAGGCACGGGAAGGGACATTCCCCTCCTCAGCGAACCCCTCTGTGTGCCCTCACCCGGGGGAGGGACCAACCCAATACACAGGATCGCTGCCTTTACCAAGGGACGCGTTCACAGTTGCAAACTCCGCGCATTGCTCTGGAGGGGAGTGGGGGGGGGCTACCGTTCCCTCCCTCCTGGTTTCCACCTAGCAGTCATCCCCGAGGGGGATGATGGGCGCCCAATTCCGAGGATGCCGTTAGTTAGACACCCATCCCAAAGGAGCTCCGAGGTGCTCTCTCTCTCTCTCTCTCTCCCTCCCTCCCTCCCAAGGAAGAGAATGCCTGCTTAGGATCGGGCTGGGCAGATTCCCTGAGCCTTCTTTGGGCCGCACAGCCTTCCTCCGCCCGAGGTCCTCCGGAGAAATGAGGTCACGCTCCCCATCCCCTTTATTTTATAAGATGGTGGGGAGCTGTAGTTCAGCCTTCCCAGAGGGGATTCCGGGGACGAAAGAGGCTGGCTTTGCGCGGTGGTGGTTTCTGCAGGTCTGCCCTGTTCTTTTGCTAAGCCCGCGTTTCCCAAAGGCGAAAGAGGTCGTGTTTCCGGTTTCATTTAATTTCCTATCTATGGGTTTCATTTAAAAGCAACATTAAAAAGGTTGGATTCGGACTTGACCCAAGCCTTATGAAATCGATAGGATTTCCCCCGTTTGTAATTCCGTGGAATGAGTCTAAGGATGAGTAAACCAGCCAACCTGGGTTTTTTTGGACATACTTCAGGCATGTTGGTGTGGAGGTCGCTCTCTTTTCACTACACAATATCCCCCCTTATTTTATTTTTTAAAAAATCTTTAAAAATAAAGATGCTTGAAGCAAAAGGGGTCGTCCATGTAGCTCAAACAATCTCGGCCACTTGAGCTGGACTTCGCCGGTCATCTTGTAAAAGGAAGTCCTTCGCCTTCCCATGTCATTAGCATCGCATGGACCCGAGGCCGTTTATTCGATTAACCCCGTTTCCCTCGCCCGCGTTTAGACAACGGCAAATCGGAAGGGAAAGGCTTCTAGAGGCGGCAGCGGCCACCGGGGGACTTCGAGCGCAGCCAAGCCACCGTCGAGGTGATTGAAAACGGTCCTTCGTTACAATACAATTCATTCGGCACAAGGATGGCTGGCTGGCCGGCCGCTCGAAGGCCCCGACTTGGAGAAAGAGCCGCCCTGCCTCCGTGGTGTTTTAGCGTCTTGAAAAAGTTCCTTTCCTCTGCAGGAAGAACTCAGGAAGAGAGGCCAGGCATGCTTTCCTTACGGGATGCACAGTTCGGGGAAGGGGGAATTTAACGAAAGCGAAAGTATTTGTTGATGCAGAAAACCTTTGATCGTTGCTTTGGCCAAGGCTTCTTTCTTTCTTGGTTTTGCATGAAATGCCTTATTTTTCCAGGGTGCCTCTTAAGGGACTCCGTTGGCATCGACCACCCCGACGAAGCGCCACTGATTTCTGGGGTGGGAGTGGGAGGACGCGAGTATTTCCACCGGCACCTCCCAATTTCCAAATCCGGGTAACCCGCTTAGTTTTCAGATCCTGACACGTTACCACTTCGGGGTTAGTTTATTTCTATTTTGTTTTCCCCCTTAAGCGTTTTATATCACAGTTTGCTGACGTTTTGTTGTTTTTGTTTCTTTGAGGAAAAAAAAAAGAATTGAAATAAATTTCGTGTATACTCGCACACTATCGCTTTTCAACCAGAGAGTATAATTTGCACTTATGTATAACGTTTGTTGGTTTGTCAGAAATTTGTGATGTACAAAGTTCTTGGGGTGGGCAATTATTTCCCCCAATAAAATGTATGTGACACAAGCTTAGCTTCCTTTCCCTTTGGCATGTAACGCATCCCCTTTATATAGTAGGAAGGGTCCACGGTTAATGCTTGAAAATAACAGGCAGCAATGGCGGGGGAGTCGTTGCCTTCCTCGTTCAAGGGGAAAGAGAGCCCGGCTTTGCGCAGGTTTTGCGGGCTTCGCTTTGGGTGCAAGGCGGGGAAGTAACTTGGTAAGACCCAGCTTGAAGGTTTCAACCCGGCGAGACTTTATTCCGGTCACAGGGACCATCTCTTCTTCCCACCTTGAGGTGGAGATCCGAGACCAGGGCAAATACTCAGATAATTCCCTATTGAGTTTACTCGGGGCATTGCTTCGTCCAAGGCCTTTACGGAGAAAGGAGCTTTTCCCTGAAATTCACCATGTGTGCTTAGAACTAAGCAAATCGTGGCTAACGTAAATATCAAAGAGGCGCCATCTCTAGATTAACTGGGGATGATGGGGAGGTGATGCAGCATCTTTGGGGGGCTGCAGGTCAAATAAGGCTATGGCTCCGAAATTGTAGTCTCTTCCTACTTAAAAAAAAGAGATTTCTTCCCGAGGATTAGAAAATCTCCCCAGAAGAAGGGACAGAGTAATCTTTCCAACCAGACACCCTTCCAAGAGAGTTGGACCAGAACTGCCCTCCCCGGAACCCTCACGCCTTATGGCCGTGGAAGATGGGAGTGATAATCCAAAACAGCCGGAAGACTTTAAGGTAGCGAAAAGCTGATATAGACACACACTATCGATTAGAAATCCACTCAGCTCCGAACAGGCTTGTTCTGTACTGCCCGCAACACTTTCATGTTCACTTGTTAGTCGGGGAGAAGAAGAAAAGCAATTCCGGAAATTCAGGCGAGCCCCTTGTCCAATTTACAGCATTTATCTAAATCGCTTTCCCCCCAATCTGGTGCTCTCTAGATGCGCTGGGCTACTATTTTCTTTACTCTGAAAGCGATGAGGATTGCAGGCAGCCCACCGGTTCCAAGGGTGCCAGATTCGCAGAGCCGGATTTGCAAATCCATCTGGAATAATTTAGGAATTAGCCTTATCGGGATATCCTCTGGGCGTAGTTTAAAAAAAAAATCAAAATGGAGATCCCGACAGTGCGATCAAAGCTCCTTCAGCTTTTTAGCTGCACCGCCATCTTGGCTTTTTTTTGTGCACCGCCATCTTGACTTTTTTGACACATCCTCCCTCCCCCCGACAACCCCGAGCCTGCCTATGTTGATGGGAGCAGAAACGGCCCCAGCGCTTCCTTACGGACTTCAGTTCCGATGGCTCCCAGAACAATTGGTGAAAGTTTGAGGCAGACAGGACGACCATCCCTTCTGTCCCTTATTCTGATATTTCCCAGTACCGCATCCCAGTATATTCAGCCCATTCAACCCTGTAGCAATTTAAAAAACAGACAACAGGCAGGGCTGGGCCTTAAATATTTAGATGGTATGAGCCATCCAGGACAAATGCATTGGGTGCTGCCACTCTGGAGCTGAACTGCATTGAAAACCATAGGATTTATTACTAAAACTGAACTGGCATGCCTGCCTGTAATTAACAACCTTGACCTCCTCCTGATAGGCATACATTTCCAGTTGGGTGTCCTATGCAGGTACTTCAACTCCCAGAATCCTCAGCCCAGGATTGCCAATGCTGAGAAATCTGGGCCTTCCACTCCTTACATCTGGAGGGCATCAGGACTAGCTTGGATCACACTGGCTTGATCTTCCAACACCACCAAGACCTGATGCAACAGATCTCTGGATTTAGAAGTAAGTCCCACTGCTTTCGGTAGCATGAGCTCCTCTTCAACTTCAAACACAGAATAATTTCATAGGAGAAAGGGGAAAAAAACATGAAGGTCTTAGCATACCCTAAGATGTTTGGGGCCACAACTGAGATCCGTCTGGTTGGAGATAATTCAAGTTTGTTCTCTGCATCGTCTCCTCGTGTGTCTTACACTTCCAGAAAATCAAACTAGCCTCCGTAGCAGGCCTGGAAATAAAACTCAGGCCTTGGGCAAGGCGGGTTTTTTTTTTAGATTAAATCCACACAGCCTACTTGGTCAGCGGCTGTGATTGAGGCTAGATGTGAATTTCAGCCCAAACCTTTTTTCAGGAAACTAAAGCATTAAGTTCTGCTGCTTGATAGGAATTGATGCTTAATGGGTTAGATTTTTTTTTTTAGAGAGACATCTTGATTTGCAACAGAAAGATAACCCATCAGTGGATTCACAGATGAGGGTGTTCTAGTCCAAAATTATTGAATAGAAATGGTTTAAGCTTGAACTGGGGCGAGTCTCCCACCCTGCACTCTCCAAGCTTCCTCCCCTCCCTGCCTTTTGATTTCATCCAGGCTTCTCTTATGTTTAATAAAAAAAAAAATGGAGCAATTTTCCCGAACAAGAAAAAAAAAATTCCACCACCCAGGAGTTTACTATTTAATAAGAGTACTCCCAATCTTGCATTTCCAAACAATAAAAAAGGGAGAGAATTTGTGCATTTTAAAAAAAAATGCTGTTAAAAAAATCTCCCTATTTACGTTCAAGCACAACACTTCATGGGCTTCTCGGAGGCCTGCTGTACATTATAAAGTCAGTTTCAGAGAACGCTGCGACCACAGTGCAGTGTTTACATTCTTCTCAAGGCAAGCCTGCATGGACGTAATTTATAACCTAAACACTCCAACGTAACTTGTTTATATAGAGCATGACAAGACCTCAAAGACCGAAAAACTGAAATTGCCCAACCTGGAGTTCCCATGAGGCTCCACTGCCCCCTGATGGAGAGATGCAATGTGTGAAAGAGGCCTTTAAAAAATCTTACCTACAATTCCC